GCCAAATTTGGTGAGTGGCTATATAAACACAATCTTCAAACATATTTAGGAATCAAATAAAAAACCCTGTGGGAAACAGAGACAACCTAATGATGATTTGGTTTAGGGATAAGACTAAATGCGCTCTTTACCTCCATTTTTATTTTAAGGATTTGTATGATTTTATAATTTTAATAATGGGAATTTCTAACATTTTCCTTTTGTCATATTTTCCTTGGCAAAAAGATAAGAAGGGGACTAAAAGGCGAATGTTCTGGTACTCACATTAAGTACCTATTGCTGTCAGATACACGAGACTTCTCTGAAGAAAGACCAGGGCCTAATTATGGGCTGAAAACACATCTGTTCTACCTTTTGCTGGAAACTCTCAGGGTGCTGGCTTCTCATTGCTATTTTATCAAATGAGGAGAATCAATTTAAACCTACCTTATTCTTGGTATAAAGATAAGGCACCACTTTTTGGAACACTTTTGGCACTTGTTCCATTGTGTCGTTGTTAACAATGTGGAGCATACAGACTGGAAGTGTAGTATATACTTTGGGAACCAAAATCATATCTTGAGGAACCAAAAATGTTTCTCTGTAATTACAAAAGAGTGAAGTTTCCCTTGGCGTGAATCATAAAGAAAGTTTGAAATTAGGTTTGAAGCCAAGAAATAAAAAAATAAGTTTAAAGTTGCAAATAACTTAAAGGTACACATATTGTTTTCCTTTAGAATTCTAATTAATACATTATGTTTTCATGCAAATGCTAACCTTTTAAGAAATAATATTTATAAATAATGTATGACTAACATGCTATTGCTTAGAAATGAAATGATTTATTTCTTTACTAAAAGCATATCAGTTTATTATATTATGTGTGCGTGGTTAGTTGCTCAGTCGTGTCCAACTCTTGAGACCTCATGGACTGTAGCCCACAAGGCTCCTCTATTCATGGGATTTTTCAGGCAAGACTACTGGAGTGGATTGCCATTTCCTACTCCAGGGGATCTTCCTGGCCCAGGTATTGAACCTGCATTTCCTGCATCTCCTGCATTGCAGCTGTATTCTTTACCTGCTGAACCACAGGAGAAGCCACATTCATCAAAAGATCTAATAGTTAACTTCATATTCTTCATATTTTGTTTAATGAAACATGGATAAAATTTCTATAATAGTTCATTTATTCACATCAGATATGGAAGGAATTTTAACTAAGTTCCAAAAGCAAGTTAAATGTTCATACTTTTACTACTATCACAAAGAAAACTCTCTATATATGAATATTTTATACCACTTAGGGGTGATATTATTTGCCAATATATGATAGCCTCACCTGAAAACTATAAACCAAGTATTTGGAGGCTGGTCTGTGTAAGTCACAGTATAGTCAGCAAAAGCAATCTTAGTTTCTTCATCTTGATAGCATGGATAAGATTCCATAGATTTGCACTTGCTTTTAAACATAAGTCTGGAAAGGTAAAAATAATTTAAGTATCAATGGCAAAAGCAATTTTTGAA